GAAACAGGTCCTGGCTTTCTGATGCTAGTTTCTGACCACACTGTAGTTCCAAGCAGGGCACAGGGAGAAGGGCTAAACTCTCAAATCCCATGGTATGCTCCTCTGGAGAGATCTGACTCTCTGATCATCTGAAGTGCTAGAGCCTCATACGGGGCTTGGTGAATGCTGGCTTGAATTACGTGCCTTTGTCAGAAGGGAGCAAAGCCTGGGGTATGACCATTTGTTTTGTTCTTTTGAGAGAATTGGTTCTCTTGGATCTCTGTTCAGGTCAAATAATTTGTTAGTTTGTTCCCTCATGCACGTGCTTATATGTTAGTTTACTCCTGAGCTCACCTTTGCAGTGAAACAGGTAGTTTCTCTGATATGTTTTCTCCTGGCTGTGTTTTCCTGGGGCAATGCCACCAAAACTGTGCCTGCTTTGGCACTTTCTACCATCTGTGGTCCTTCAGTACCGTCCTAACAGGTCCTGCACCTTCAAACGCTTCCCCACTTTTGTGCTGTGCCAAACAAACACTGTCCTCAGTGCTGTAAAAATGCTGATCTCTTGAGCTGTGGCACATGGATCTCCTGTGCAGACATAGTTTGTCTCTGAAGCAAAGAGCTTTCTTAAAATCACAATGTATGGAGAGAGTTTTAATAATTAGAAGGTTTGGGAGAAAATAGCCCACATAACATAGGAGCAAACCAAATCTGGAAAGTATTTCTGCCTGAAGAATCTCAAGGGCTTTTATTGAAGGGGAAAATAAAAGAAAGTCCTAGCCAAACAGCTCCCCAAAACTGAAAATGTTACCTAAATCCTTGAGCAAAACGTACGTTTTAAAATGACAGCTTTCTCCAAAATGTGTAGTGGAAGAAAGGCCCTTTAGGCAAGCAGTAAAATTGGAAAAGGCAGTTTGACAAGGTTTTTTTTAAAGGATTTAATTGTGACTGTCCTTTGTGAGTATAAAGATGGGCTTAACCCAGTATCTTGAGTGTAGCATCCCTGAGCCTTTTCAAGTATAATAAAATCTAAATATGAACGTTGCTTCAGGCATCTGTTGTTAGAAGCATGGTTCTGAGGATAAGTACTTTTTGGCAGATTTAAAATCTGTGGGCATTGTGGTTTCAAATTCATAATCTGAATTTTGCAGCTTGGATCAGTGAAATAGGGAACAGAATCTGATCAGTTACAAGAGAGGAAGCATTTTAAAATGGATTCTGTGACCAAAGCCAAGTCTCTTAGGTTACTTCAAAGAATTTTTGTAAACTGAGACTCCAGATTGTATAGTACAATTTCACACTGTAAAAAGCAATTTCCTTCAACATCCAGCACAGTGAGATTTAAAACAGGACCATCACCAGCTTCTGAAGATGCTGAATTTTTTCTGGCAAACAGAAGTTCTGAGAAACATGATGTTCCCCTGTCCTATGCCAAGACTTCATCTTGCATCTTCCTTTTGTCCTAGAATTAGCAAATGGGTCCAAAGTCCAAGCACTGTTTGTAGCTTCAGCAGCAAGGATTTCTTACTAATTCCCTTTCTGAAGTTCAGTTATTTAATAAAATATTGGGATGAAATTTTTGAGCAGTGACTAGGCTGCTAGCAGTAAGGTTCTCACACCACTAAACTTGCATTCATTTTTATGAAATTTTGGGTACTAGTTCAGTTAAAATGAACTCTTATTTGCTAATAATTTGGCAATATACTCTTTCATTTTCTTGCTTGTGTGCCAATTTCCACAACCTGGCATTTACAGGGTCTTGTTGAGATGTACTGAACTAGAAAAACTCTACTGCCTTTTTTCTAAAGAAAAAGGCACATGTCTTAATTTAATAGAACTTAAACTTGTTTATGGTGAGGCTACTTCATTGTATTTTTGTCTTTCTTTTAGATAAATATTATGCAATATGGGAAAATTATGTTCCATATATTCTGAAGTTCCCAGTCTTCCTAAATAATGTGATACTAAACCACTTTTTCTCTTAGATAACACCAATTTATGTAAAATGTTGGTGAATCAGATTTTTTTCTTTAGGAGATATGACAGGGGAGTCTGGGAGACAGAAAGACTCTTAACTGATTTTGTCCCAAACTGAGCAATTGTGTTTGGGAAACTGAGGACAGGGACAGGACTTTTGCGTGATAAATGTTACTGCCTGATGGCTCCACTGCCTGGTTTTAGTGGACAGCACATATCAGGGAGTCTCTTTGGCTGTGCTGAGATAATGCTCTTGGCACAGGAAACATGATCAGCAATGTTAAGTCACATTACTGGCTATCTGAGGAGTTAACCGCTGAGTAACACTGAATGACAAGTACAATCTTTTGCTTAAAATAATTTGGTGTCAGAGATGTAAGAAGCATTAGACTATGTAGTTACTATAGAGTTTATTTAAAGAACTATTTAATATATTTTAATTTTCTCTTACAGAGTATTAATATTAGGAGCTTCAGGAGGAGTTGGTACATTTGCTGTACAGGTAATACAAATCAGCATGCCCAGGATGTATCTTCAAACTATTCAATATGAAAAAAAAAAAATAATGGAAAGGAATTGAGGGAAGGAATAGTGAAATAGCAAGCTACTGATCAATCTGTCTGATCAATATTTCCAAAAGCAAAACATTTTCAGATTTATTGCTTTCTATTTGTTACATTGTGTTGGTTTAAAGTAGGAAGCAGGGACTTTCAAAGAAAGGAGTTGTGAGCGTAGGTAGTGAAAGGTCGCATTTCACAGTTTGGGTGCAGGAAACCTCTAATTGGTGTAACTTGAAATATGTAGCCTGTTTTCATTATCTTTCAGTCAGCTCTGCTCCATAAATATGAGAAGAACTTGGCGTATGAGTGGAAAAACTGATGGAGAATGTATCATCTAGCGTAACTCTTGTAGGTGGTCAAATGATATGAGAGGCACCAGGCTTTTATGTGCAGTGTATGTAAAGCACAGTGGCTTAGACTAGCTTTCCCTCACCGTCTTTGCCCTGCTGCCCTGTCTTCATTCCAGTAGCTCTAAACTTTGGAGAGTCAACATGCTTTTTTATTGATCCATTAACTGTGGAACATCCTCTTTTCATTCTCTCATGTATTTGGAGATTTTGATTCTAATCGGTGTCATCTCATGCTGAAACATCTTTCTCTTGAGAATATACAAAAAATATAGAAGTTGGGTGATGGCATCACTGCATTCCATGTCACTAGACCATAAACATAGTGGTTTATAAAGAGGCTTACAGGAGAATTTTTAGTGATACGCTATTTGCCTGATCCATGATAAAGCAGGTGGCTAAATTAGATCAGTACGAAAGGCTGACCAGCCACTGACTAGTTGTGATTTCTACCTGATTAATCCTGAGTAAACTACATTAATTAATCCAGAATATATGTAAAAAAGATTACTGTGAATGAAAAATGAGATTACAAAAGAGATAAATTTAACTCACAAAATTCCTTCACTTTGCTATAGCTTTTGGAGTAGATAACCTGACATCCTCCCTGTGGTAAATCAGAGATGACTTCCTTCTTTTTCTCATTATTAATATTTAAGCTATTTACAGTGAGATAGATATATGAAATACTTAATGAGCAGGTAGGAATATAAAATATTTTTATTTTAAATACTTAAAAATATTTAATGGTTGATATAGTGACAATTTCATAGATTGGTAACTTGGACAATACCTCTTGGTACACATTTAGCTGACAGATTCAGATGGCAAACTGAGTATTTTATTTGAAGCCTTGTTTATCCTGAGACCTGATATCTGTAGATGGCTTCTTCCTTCCTCCTTCCTCCACACCAACTCCTCCCTCCCCAAAACCTCCTTAAATGTTTATAAATTCTAACCATTGTTAGTCTGTGGGATGTGTGACATGTTATCCTGTGTTGGAACACAGTCTGCCCACTCCCTATTAAAGGTGCTCATTTATTATATAAATATAAGACGATTTTGGCTTTTTAAGTTGTTCTCAATGTTTCACTAAATTTTAAACTTTGGACTTTTTTTTTTATACTTGTTTTTAGCTAGTGAAGGCCTGGGGTGCTCACGTGACAGCAGTTTGTTCTCATGATGCCAGCACACTGATGAAAAAGCTTGGAGCGGATGATGTGATTGATTACAAATCTGGAAATCTGGAAGAGCAACTTAAAACATTACCCTTGTACGTGTTTGTGTTGCTTAATACTGAGATGAAGGAGTTGGCAGTCAGGCCGCCTGCTTTTTGATTGCTTGACTCCAGTCTATCAGAACTCCCTCTTTTTTTTGTTTTTTCCCTATTTCTAAAGCGTTACTTTGTAAAGCAAATTCATCCCAACCCTTTTTGAATGCAATTCACCAAGTGAGTATCCCAAGCGCAGATTTCATTGTAAGATTAAGCCAGTTAATTGGGCTCGTGGAGGCAAGCTCACTTTCACATGCTTCTCTTCAATGACTGTGATTTGAACAGTTTTGTCAGCTTCCATCCAAGAATCTTGGAGCATTTACAAAGCATGAATAAATTAAAATAGGTCTCAGAAATCCTGTGTGAGGTTAGTAAATAGTAAAATTGATCTTCTAGGGGGAAGAACTATGTCATGAAGCAGTTAAGTGACTTGCCTAAAGGTCTTTAGCCACTGTGCAACTTAACTGGGAGTAAATTTCTCTTCTGTAACATTGGGTACGGCTGCCTCTGATAAACAGTCGCACTTATCTTGTCACAGCAGTTATGTTTAAATTAGCTTGGGGGTTTTCTTTAGAACTGAAGTCTTTTTTGCTTTTGTAATCTTTCCATCTGTTGAAACTTAGTCTACTGTGCCTTGTATTTGAATATGGTATTTACACTGCTCTTTTTAGCTAGATTGAGTTAACCTTCTGGGAGGGGAAATAGAAGCTGTTCAATCTATGAAAGAATCTTACTGGTAACTGTGCTGAGAAGGCATATGCCCTTTACCTATGGTGTGGTTGTCAGCTGGCCTGAGGTCAACTGTGAGGGTACTGGTACTGTCTGTGTGGGGAGGATGTGCAGCAACTAAGTTAGCAGTTTGCAAGCAGTGCTAAATTTGCCTTTGTGCAATTCAACATCCTAAATGCTAAACACCCATTCTAGCAAGTGACCCTTTTTAACAGCTCTAGTGACCCTTTTTAGCAGCTGTCCACAGCACTGTCTTAGGGTGCAGTTTTATGATTTAGCTAAGCTGATCAGTCAGGTATACTGAGGGGGATGGTCCTACCTGCCTCCCCTTTACACTTGTAGTGACTCTTCAGACTCCATGGTGAGCTAGTTTTCCCTGGAGCATTAGTTTTCATGATCTTAATTTCTCTTGCTGGCAGCTAACTGCTAGGTTGACTGAACTGTTACATGAAATCACATCCTTGGAAGACAGGCAGGAAAACTGTCTTTCCAGGGATAAGAGCTTTTCTATTTAATTTGCATAAAGTATTTTCCCTCTTACTTGTAGGTTATTTAGATTCAACGTATGTGTGTATACATATCTGTTGCAATCTGGAGATTGCTGGAAATTTACAGATGACAATGAGAATGAGCTGTGCATCTAACAGAATAGGTGCATAGGTCCCTGTTGCCCTATTCAACCTTTACAGACTCACATGCTGGGATAACGAGAAGGAACACTGAAACTGTGGCTTGTTGCCAGAGGTTGCACATAACCAAGGTTTTAGGGAAGGTTTTAGACCCTTTCCGTTGTAAGGTTCTACGTCAAATAGGTAGATTCAAAGAAAAGAACTGTCAGTAAAGGTAAAATGGTCCCAAAACAAATAGGGAGGTCAAAAAAGACTTCCAGAAGTGAAGCTGAGAATTGGGTCACAGAAAAGGAGGTAAGGGTTAGTAGAATAATTTGTTTATGTAACTTTGGCCACTGGATCCAACTTTCACATGAGTACAGCATGTACAGGAGATGTTCCTAGTCAGGGTGTGAGTCCAGACTAGTTTTTACATGCATGTAGCATATTGTTCAATGCTAGGACCAGACCTCAAGACTGTTCCAGTAGTCTCAGTGGGAGGGCTGAAGAGACAGAGCTCTAGAAGGCTTTAAGCAAATAGAGAATGTAGTTGTGCATCTAAGAGTCTGGAGTTTGTTACCTAAATAGCCTGTGTCTGCTGTGCAGTGAATGGGCAATAACCTGTAAATTTAACTCCCATTGTACAATAAAGCTGGGATTTAGCTGAAGTCTTTGGACTTTCTTGCTACTGTCTTGCAGGAAGTTATTTTAATGCATTGCAGTGATCTGTAAAAATGTGAACTACAGCCAGTTTCTGATATGAATTAGCTTAATTATGATGAAATTATTTTCCCCATATCATGATTTTAAACCTGTTCTTTACATGTCTGCAGATTTGACTTCATCCTAGATAATGTTGGTGGATCCACTGAGAAGTGGGCTCTCAATCTCCTGAAGAAATGGTCAGGAGCAACATACGTTACCTTAGTGACACCTTTCTTGATCAATATGGACAAACTTGGAGTGGCTGATGGCATGTTACAAACAGGAGTCACTGTTGGTTCCAAAACTGTAAAGGTATTTGAGAAAATCCTATATACTTTTATATTACATAGTACTCTAGTGTCTTCCTTTGTGGCTTCTAGTCCTGTGGCTCATCTGTCTTATTTTTCTCATATATCATGGAGTATAACTCAGATGCATTTTTATTCTTTCCTTCTTTCGTGCACTGAAAAAGAATGTGTTGGGGTGGTGCTGATTGGTGTATGTGGTAGTTTGGGGTGCTTTGAAGTTTTGACATCCTTATTGTGCTTTTCATTGTGGCCTTTTCCATATGGCCCCCTAGTGAGTTCTGCTGACAGCTAGTGTTTCATAGTAAACAGAGCAAATCCCTGCATCATTGAAGTGAGGGTAATTTTGCTACTTGCTTTAGGCTGGTCAGGCTTTCTCTCAAAACATTGTTCCATGACTGATTCTCTTCATCCTATTCCAGCACCAGAGAGTAATAGAAGTGGTTGAGGGTGGCTAGAAAGTCTTTCATCTCTTTCATGTTCATGTGTCTGTATGGTGATACTGATTTTTCTAGTTTTCGTAAATGGATCTTAAAACATTCAGCCAGTGGCCAGATCAGTGAGGCTTTTTAGAACTTTTCTCTTTCTTCTCTCAACATGTGTACTTGCTCTCCAAATGAATGCTTTTCGAGCAGTTGCCATGGTATTCCTGTGATGGCATGGTTGAATGAGATTCTAAGTCCTGCACCGGTACTTTCAAAGGAAAGCTCAAAAACAAAATGAAAAGGCTGGGAAGAAATAATGTAGTATTATTTCTCAGTGTGCATATTTCCATGGAGGAGCATTGTATGCCATGTACTAAAAATCATCTGGCCCTCTTATTCCTACTATGACTTACTCAGAGGTGCTCTTGACTTGTGCTTGTGAGATCTTCCCAAAATGCTTTTCATGTGAGCTGCCATCTGTCATTGGACGGTGATGACTTTGGAAAATTTAATCACTGACACTGAGGTAGAAGGTTCTAAATGTCACATTGCTGAGTTTATTTCACCCCCTTTGTGAGTGTGTATAAACATATAGTATCATTTCTCTGTTACGAAACAAATAATGCTGTTTCTAGCTGCAGAGACAAGGTGGTTGTTTTTCTCAACTAGCTGACTTGTGCAATTGGACACAAAATTCACCCTGATCCTATTGTGGTAATACAACATCCCTGTCTGTACATTTAATCCACATGCTTAGGTGACATTTTTTTCAGACACTAGCATATAATTTCCATGTCTTTTCCCTAAGTTACTTTTCTAGTGTTTCTGTCATTAATTTTAGTTCTCATTTCAGTTTCCTCTCTTGATTTTTTAATATATTTGTGATCTTTCTTGCAGCATCTCTTTAAAGGAGTCCATTATCGATGGGCATTTTTTATGCCAAGTGGCCCAAGTTTGGATGAAATAGCAGAACTAGTTGATTCTGGAAAGGTATGTCAGTAACGGTTATTTGGCTCTTTGTGCTGAAAGAGGTGCTGCTTTGACTCAAAAATGGTGTAGTCTACAACTAGGGAATAAAATATTAAGAGAGTCACAGTGAAGAAGACTCGTTAAGAATTGATTTGCTCCAGTTTCTAACTTCTGCCTTTTGCATGGAATTTAGAAGTTCGTAATCCTTGGGACTCTAATATTTTCTCCCTCTCCACCCTACCTGTTTTTAAAAACAGAAAGCTTACTAAGTTATGAGGAAAGAATGTCCAGCAATTGTTTATTTTTGCCAGTGGGAATCATTTAGCATGAACTCTGGTGTTGAAAAGGGTATGTTTGAAGAGGCCTCATTTGGTTCATTTGGTCAGAATGAACATGACTGTGTGTATCTACATATGCAAAATTGCCTAGCCTGGGGGATCAGGAGTCCTGCCCGTAACGTGCACGGAACTAGAATATTCAGGTTATTGCAGGTCATAGACGATCTGCATTGGCAGAGTGGTGACAAGAATCTTGTGTTTCATTAGTTCAGTGCTTCAGAGTATAATGTTTGTGCTAATTCAGCACAGTGACTTGGAATATTGTAGGCATTCATAAGCTTTTGGGGAATCTCTTAGTGGACTTGTGGGAAAGGCATGAAGTGGCAGATAGATTACTGCTTTATCTGATCTTTTCAGGTTTATGAGCTTGTTACAAAATGTGAGAGTGAGCAGTTGATTGCCTGTTTATTGGACTGTGTGGTGCTGTAGGTCCTGGCAGTGTCCTCTTTTGGATAACTTCATGTTGCCAGAATTCCCAGAGTAGAGAATACGGACAACTGCTGTTAATCTTTCTACATGGTACCTAAGCAGAAGAGGAAGCAGAGTCTGCTGTGACTGCTAGCAATTCTTCTATGTGAACTGTCAGGCCATCTTGTGCTCAAAATTTGCGCATATTAGGAAAGTTCAGATCTCTCAGAGTTTGAGCGTTGATCTCCTTTTTTGCTGTGCATTATGTTCCAGAGTTTGGAGAATAGTAAATAAATTGCTGTCTTACTTAAGGCCTGATTGCTTCTGCTTGCCACCTCAGTGCTGCTGATCAAATAAAAATCTTCCTGAATTCAGCCACTCCTATTCCTGTCGTGACCAGTGTGCTGCTGACACAGCCAGTGGAAAGTCTCTGTTTCCTAAAAAGTTACCTGCTCATAAACAGAGGCTGCAGCAGCAAATGAGCTCTGGTGAAGTGTGTTCCTGGCTACAGCTTTACGCCACTCTGCTTTGCGTTATGCCCAGTGCTGTAGGCATTATCCCACAGTCAAGAAAGAAACCTGAGAAGATGCTCCTCACTGTGTGATTGCATCCAATCACACTGCTAAATTATAATTGACTAAGAAACAGAACTGCCCTTGTCTTTGTTCTTACCATTTGTCCTGATTCTTAGCCAGTCACAACTTGTTTTGTTCTGCTCCTACCTTGTATGCAAAACAAATGCAGAATTTGCCCATGAAAGCCTCTTGGGAAACACCTGTTTATGCAATAGAGGTAGGGCTTAATCAGTGTTCTCTGCCTAATAATCTGGACAGGTGAATTACAATGCCATTTAAAATGTACGTCATACGTATATGAATGTCCTGATGTACTTTTTGTTGTAAGATGATCATGAGGACAAAGATGTTTGCTTGGTCTTTTGTTCTCTGTGGAAAACCAGGTCATAATGTCAGACTGTTTATCTGCATAGTCATTATTCTAGCTGCATTTTACTCTATTTTGTAAAATGTTGTAAACACCCATACTATCATCAGTATTTTGTAAGACCCAGATGTGTTCCATTTAGACAGATGTTACTAAGACTACGGCCCTTATTGTCTAGACACAAGAGTTCTCTTAAATGGACAGATCATCCATTCAGAAGAGTAGGTATTTGGAAAAAAGGCAGGAGAATTACTGGAGGAAGTGTACCATAATTTCCTGTAACTGAGTGAAAAGAAATGTTCATGTTTGAATAGGAGAGAATAAATGAGAATTAAAAAAAAAAACATACACACAAAGCACTAAAAGTGTAGCAAGAAAACTTGGGAAGCGAGCAAAGTGAGCTCATGTAGTTGAACTTCTTAGTTTTGAGTGAATACAGTTTTGAGTAATGCAGATTTAGTTATTTTGAAATTACAGTGAATCGTCTTTTCTGTTACAGACATCTTAATTTTGAGATTGTGTGAAGTGTGAATAGGAGAGCAATTGGAGAGCTCCTGAAAATGAGAGGCTTTTTTCAGGAAAGTATAAATCATGAGGGGGGATTTAAATGAAGGAAATTAGAAGGAGCTGATGGCTTAAAGAGATGATGTTACAGTAAGTGAAGCTTTGAAGAACATACCCCTGAAGCAGTTACAGATCATATTGATTTGTCAGTGTTTTTCCTGTTAATCCTATTGCACCAACACAGATTTTTAGTTCTGATGAGTTCATCATCTTCTTTTGCAAAAGCAAAAGGGTTCTCAGTCCTCCAGTGGATGAAGAATGAGCAAAAAGGGCATTTTGTTTAAAGATACTTGGCTTTCACACGGGTGATCTTCGCAGTAAGGAATAGATACTTGCAGAATGTCAGTGATGAAGAGGAGTTCTTCTAACAGCCTTTTTTAATGGGGAGGAGGAGGAGAGGATTTGATGAGCTGGTAGTGCAAGGAAGGAGAATAATTTTCCTTTTGTAATTTACATCCACATCAGCTCCGTTCTGGGGACTGTAAAACCACTTCCAGTTTATGAGCTGTTTTCTCTGCCTTGCAGCTGGACATCTTGCAAAGAGAGTATTATGAGACTGAGGGGCTGGGAGGCTGCTTGTAACAATAGTGGGCATGGAGAAAATCAAGTATTTCCTTGTCAAATTTTAGAGATACTGGCTACTTTCTAAACTGCTGGGAAGTACCTGTTGTGGGTTGAACTCCGCCAGCTAATTGCGAGCCAGTAAGGATTGGCTTAACATGGGCTCCACCAAATCAGCTGATGAAGCTCATGTCAGAAGCTGGGTGTCTCTTCACATGGCAGAATGTTCCTGGTGAATTAGAAGGTTCTCATCTAAAGACAACTGAAATCAACAGAGCCTTTAGTTCAGGACTCAGATTTGCTGGCGCACTGTTCACTGAAGCATCATCACTGGTCTCTGCTGCCAGCATTGTCACTGAAAGGCTTGTTAGGAATTAGTCTGATGTATTTGTGGTCAGTGTTGTGGATTTAATATTGACCATCTTGGGCTTTGCTGCTTGCTTAACTTTTTCCTCCTTTCTAAAGATGTGCCATTTAGTCCTTGGTGCAAATATACCAAACTCATATAACTACATAAGTTTGTAGAAAGGCTCTTAATTGAGCACTTAACTTTGCTTTTTATAAAGCCTGATAGAGGAAGGCAGGCTCAAAAGACTCCTTAGTGTCGTAAGGGGGAGCACTAAGCATGTTGTATGTTCCTGCTGGACCATGATAGGATGTGGGTTAACATGCAGCCCTACAGAAATTTGACATTTTCATTTTAATTCAGTGCCATTTAAATGCAGCGTAGGGGTGTGTGTGTGCAGTGGCTTAATGCTCTTTCCTTCAGAGCAGAGTTGCATCAGATGGGCTGATGGGTGAAAGTTGATTTTGCAGAAAGAAGGCTAAAGGACAAGTAGAGTCTCCAGTCGTGAAATTAATAGATCGTTCTACTGTGTTGTTTGCTTTCTAGATAAATATTACAGTGCAGGCACACATAAGAAAAACAATTGCATGCCTATATTAATGTAATTTGTATGGAGTATTGATTATACATTTCGCTGAAGACTAGATGCTTTCAGCTTAGCACTTGCTGTTGTGGTTTGGTGGACAGGATGCTGGTTCTTTGGTCTGGCTGCTGTCTTCCTGTGCAATGCTGTACAAATCGCATAACCTCTTGGTATCGTAATTTCTCTACCTACTAATGAGGGCTAATGCCCTTTATCCACCTTTGGTGATTTGCGATGAGATACCCTGTTAAAATGTGGAATTCAATTGTTTTCTATTGCTAGTCTTGGCTATTCAGGAAGTAAGTAACACAAATGGATATGGTCATGCACTTTGATATTACTTGGGTTTTGAATTGCTTGGATGGTGATGATTTAAGATGGCTTACATTCCTCCTAGCATAGAGCTTCTTGACTCTGTATCCTAACCCGTGTGTATAGATTTGCTTCCAATTCATCTTGTTACAGTTCTGCAAGTAGCTTTTTCCCTGGCCTTTGTTGTACAGTTGTTGCAGATTTCTCTCATCCATATGAATACCAAACAGCTAATGTAACATATTGAGTCCTTGAACGTTCTCCAAATCTGGCATCTCTAGATGTGGCCTTCTCTGCAGTAATTCCAGTCTTTATCTTTAAGGCTGTGCTAAGGTATCTTAAGGTACCTGAGGTGACTTGCTCTTGGGTGGTGCCTGCTTTACTCTCCCTATCTGAAAAAGGACACTAAAGTAGCAATTCTGTACTTAAATGTCTAAATAGACTACAGATCAGTCCTCCATACTCTCTTTAGTCACTCATACTTGTTCCAACGACCATCCTTCTCCATGCTAAATTGCAAAGCTTGCACATTTTCTTTCTTTTTTTTAAATTTTCTGTTTTCTTGTTGCAGTACTTTTGCTTGCCAGGTTTGTTGGCTGGAGCCCAGAGATGTTGATCAAGGAGACGTTGCCAAAAGCTCTGTTCAGTCCTTTCTCTTCCAAAAGGAACCTCTATCTGCTTTTTGTCATGGCTACCAAAGAAACCACTGTGACTTTTATTAAAACACATCTGCTCCTCTTCCTCCAGGACATGGTAGCTTGCTTATGCTCTTTATGAAGTGCTGTGTGATCACATCATAAAATGTCTGTGAAGACTAATGGAAATTGCATACTGTGGAGAGATAGGGTTTGAATATGTAAGTTCACATAAACCATGATGAGGTCTGGAAAAATTTTGTCGTATAGCAGGTATTTAATCAAATGTTTTGCCTCAGCCTGATGTCATTGCATAACCTGTAGGAAGTCAGTCCTAGCGTTCTGAGCTCTAGTTCCCTACTGTAGGAGGGAATTACGTCCAGCACAGCGGTGAAATGTGGGGTCAGCAAGACAGCTCTTGTCTGTTGTGAGTTTAGTTTTCTGAGACCTGGGGAGATGCAGGTCATGCAGGACTATTCCTCTAATATTTATAAAATACATAATGTGCTTTCATGTATAAGCATATGTATATTCATATGTATATATATAACTGTACTGAAGTTTGTTCTGTCTTAATTATATGGTAGCATTGCCCCAGATTGATTTCATTACCAGCATAAATAGCAGGACAACTACCATCAACATGACTGCTAGGGGATTCCAGAAGAGAGAGTTGCTCTTTCCTGTATTTAGTAGTTTTTCAGCATGGTTCAGTAGGTAACTAAACTCAGGATCTTCCTCACTTCTCCTGATTTAAGCTCGGGCTAGGCTGGCACACACTACAATTCTGGGCTTGTTCCAGTTTCTTACTGCTCTTCATTGTGTTCTGTAGAAGCTGTTCTGCCAGGGCTAATTAATGAACTAGAGATTTTTTTAAGCCTTTTCTACACTCCGAACCATACCCTGATAGCCTGCTTAACTGGGATTTATCTTCTAGCATTTTAATAATTGTAGATGATACTCATGAGTTACTGTGGGCTACTGTTAGAGGCTTGGTGTGAAAGAATGTACCTTGGCTTGAAAAACAAATGAACAAACAAAACCTGGTCATGCAGTTGTTTGTAAGATGACTGTGGGAGTGGACCCCAGGACACATGCCTTCCATTCTCGTGCCTTAACCACTGCACCACCATTCTTCTCATGGGTGTATGAGACTGGATCGTTGGATCATTTTTACTTCTGTTAGGCATTTGGGACAGACATATCACATACCTGATGCCCTTTAATGTGCTCTTGGATGAAAATGCATATTCTCCGAAATACAAGTTAATCAAAACCAGTACTGTATAGTTGCAAAGCTACCCATACAACGTGATCAGAGCCAGCTGTTCCAGAAGATAAGAACTTTAATCTTTGTCTTCAGTGAGGGTTGATCCTAGAACCTAATGATGGCAAGCAATATGAAGCTCAGCATACATTGTTGCATGCCATTTTAAGGGGAAGGAAGGATGAAGAAAGGCGTGGGATTAAGACCCAAAGAATGTGGAACTTGAGTACAGCAGAGAAGGAGATGCTCAGCTAAAGGGAAGAAATTACAGAAACAGCAGTGTCCCAAGCCAGCATTTTTTCCATGAGATGACAATGAAATACTGAACGGATAAATAATTGTTTAGTTCTTTGTAATGATTTCTGTTCAAGTCTCTTGTTGACATTGAAGGGAGACTCACTGAAGGCCAAAGGAGAGCATCAAGCTCTGCATTTGTGCTCATATACCACATTTGGGCATGGTGGTAATTTCTGGAGGAAGACAGCCTTTATCTTCTAACTCAGCTAGTCAGAATGGCAAGCAGGTCTTTTCCATTACGGCAAGCCCTTAAGAGGATTTTGAGGTCTGGTGGAGCAGAACAACCAGACCAGAACAACTCTCGTTCTGTGCACGTGCACGTATCTTTTCCAAGGCACGTACGCAAGCCATGAGCAGACTCACGGCTGCTCACCAAGGCGTAAGTATTAGCGTGTGTGCGCTGGGAGGCAGCAGCTGGGAGGGAGGCACTCTGCAAAGCAGGTCTGCCCTGCAGTTTTGACACGGCCATCCTTTACAAACCTGGGGGAGAGCCAATGGGCTGTCATTGCTCTGTGGAGTGGGGGGACTTTTTTTCTTTTCTGCTGTGAGCTAGGCTTGCTCTGAGGGCCTCTGAGATTTGGTTGTCTCTCTCCTGAGGATTTCAAGGCTGTAGCTCTCCCTCCAGTGGCAGGAAGCGGCTCCACACTCACTGGAGCCACTTGTTGCTAATACGAGGGTCAAAGCCATCTCTGTTCCCTTTGTGTTTTCTCACTTGTCCCCTCTTGATAAATTCAGACTGTGTCCTTGCTACCACAGAAAAGGGGACCTCCAAGGATGGCCTTGAATTTGCCATTAGCGGGAGTGTGTTCCTGCTGCCCAGTCAACTCCTGCCAGCGCCTGTTCACTGCCTGCTGCGTTCAGAGCTGGATTGGCTGGGATACCGCTTCTGTGCTCTGTGTAGGATAGCCTTAATCAGCATCAGCAATTACTCTTTTTATTTTTCCAAACACATGAGTTTGTTTCAAGAGACCTGAGATTCATTTCTATAGTACATCCTGCATCGGAGAGAATGAAGAGGAAGAAAATAACTTTCAGGCCCAATCTGTTTTCAGATGAACATTTCAATGCGGGTGTGTTAATCCTTTCTCTCCCAGACTTTAGTTTAATCCCTTTTCCCTGAACAAATAGGTGTCCTCTGGCAAGGAACTGATGTGTGGCTGTAAATAGGCAGTGTTTTTATTATCCAGTTAATCTCCATTTATTATCACACATTCAACAAACAGCAGACGCTCCCCTACTTGTTTGCCGGCTCACAGGAAGAAATTTTATCTTAGTCAGTGGATTATGGTAAAGGCTGAGTGAATCACTGTGCTGCAACACGGTCAGCCCTTTCAGGGTTATTCAAACAATAGGACTGACCAGCCAGCCAGATAAAATGTTTAATGCTCTAGATTGTCAGGATCATCAATTTAGTATTCATGTCTCTCTATAGCACTGCCCAAAGCCAGTGTTTAAATGGAGCTGGAGGTTACATCAATGTAGCAGATGGGCTTTGAGTGTGTGGTGGCTGCAATACACACGGTGTTTTGAACTGTGAGGCTGAATTCAGGGTTCCTCTGAATCCCTGTGTCACCACTTTTCAAATGCGATGCTTTGAACTTTAACTAATAGGCTGAGGATGTAACATACCTTGTTCTGGCAGGTTTGTAAGCTGCAACCTACAATATATGACTGCAGGTAGCAGAACATTGAAGTGCCTTGTTAATTTTTTTTTCTCAGTTGCTGCACGTGTCTGAAACTAACTTATGCCTTTCCCTGGAATCCCTTGTGCTTCACACCCCTTGTGCTGCTGCACTGCTTTCTTCCCTGAATAGGATTCCCCTCCTCCCAGCCTCTTGTCCTGCTAGGGTCATCTCTGTCCATGCTCCAGCAGGCTGTTTCTGTATTCTTTTTTTTTCTTGACTGAAGCACAGCTTTGTACATAACTGCCATTAACAATAAGTACTTGTACAAGTGCTGCACTTGTGCTTGGCTCAACAAGGTTACTGCATTGTTTTTTCCCAAGCTTCTGCTATGAAAGCAAGACTTGGTCTTCCTCAAAATAGTCACTACTGATCAGCAGCACGTTCCTCCTGCTGATAGTCACAGCAGCTGCAGTTTACTCGGATGCTCAGTTTACCCAAAGCCATTATCTCATTCAGTGTTTGTGCTACCCTGGGTCCATATCCCTGAATTTGCTGATACCCAAGACAACATTTACATTCTGTGCTGGACGCTGACCAAACACGATTTTGTCTTGATCATTCAGGCCCCACATTTCTTTCCCAGTTGAGCCGCAGAAAGTGTTACATGGTATCTTTCCGGCTCTCTACTGTGTGTTACTACTCACTTTGCTAGAGGTTTGTTTACAGAGATCATCCTGGTAGAACAAAGGGAAGAAATTACCCAGCCTTGTACCCTGCAGCATGGCGAGTTTGAGGCACTTAGTGAATATGTTTATTTGCACAGTTGCTTTCTTAGCGATTTGGCTGCTAATTCCGACCTTTTCTTTGGAGGAGGTTCACTCATTCCTACTTCTCTACCACGTAAAGTGTCACAGTACTGCTAAGCTAGCTGCAGACTCATCTACTGTTAATGTTTTCCTCTGATAAGAAGATTAGGATCAGTTCATCAGTGCAAAAACATGCACTGGGCTGGTGTTAGGGGACCAAAGGTAAGAGACCAATCTCAGGGTAGGTAGGACCTCTGGGAGGATGTGGGAGAGGTACTTTTGTGCACAGATCTTATTCTGGCCTCTGGAAGGCTGACTCCAAACTTCATGATAGAAAAAGTCTCTTCCCTTGGACCAGCAGTTGCAAGTATTTTTCAGAAGCAGCTGGGATTTCTTCTGCCTCTGTCAGTACACTATGATGTCTAAAGAAAATGCTCATAGGGTTGTCGGGCTCCTTAGTTAATAATGAGGACAGCGATTAGGGTAGTTTCATTGCTAATAATGAAGGTGAGTCTAAAACAATCCAGAAGGCTACTGTACAAAACCAGTGCCAAAAGAGCAGTCGATGCAAGCTGGGCTTAATGATGTATGCCTACTGAAATACACAGTGGCTGAGTTTTCAAGTGTACCTAAATGATTCAGCAACAAATGGTCATGGACTCTTTTTTGTACTTCATTTGTGGCCAAGTCTTTTAAGGGTACTGAGGCATGTACCGATGCAGATAGGCAATTGATTCATAGGTATCTTAATTTAAAACATCTGACCTTTTGAAAATTCTTGGGTTTAACAAGAAAACCAGTAGAGAAATATGAGGAAAAAAATGTTCTTCCTTTTCCTCAGTGTATCATTGTGGACAACAAAAAGTTAAACCACAGTGTCAGCCTTTAAAGGGACTTAGAAGTTAGAGCCTTGCATGGTGACTGTATTGTTAAGAGCCCCAGGTGAGGGCTCCAAACTGTGCCAGTAGAGAGGTCTCAAAGCTTGGGCAAAGAGCAGCAGAAAGCCTTCTCCTGCATGCAGAGGGGTCCCTGGAAAAGTTAAAAGCTAGTGACTGCATCATTTGACAACTTCTGCCCTAAATCCTGTAAAGAAACCTTCCCCCTTTCTTCATACAGTTTTGAAGTGTGAAGGCGATACATTGTTTTATTCCTAATATAGTGACGCTTTTTCTTTACTCCGTAGATTCAACCAGTTATTGATGAAGTCTTCTCTTTTTCTGAAGTTCCAAAGGCCTTTCTGAAATTGGAAGGAGGACATGCACGTGGAAAAACGGTGATCAATGTAATTAGTAAAAAATAAAGTATCTCTAACCATTATTCTGCCCACAGTCAGTCCTTTACTGGTAAATTACACTTGAATGTGAATTGGTACATAGCAACTGTTTCTTCTTTAAAAGCTCACACAGGATGGCTAATTTTTTAAAAAAGCCTTGTTTTAGAAAGCCTCTTTGATTCCTTCATACTCTGCTTGTTAATAACTGTTAATATGCAGACAAGAAATACTAATGTCCCTTAGGTGTTTCTACATGAAAACCATGTTAAGAATGTAGTTGTGACTTTTGCACAACACCCCTCACTCTTGGGATAAGAGGAACAGCCGGAAGCATTTTCAGTTGGTAGATCTTGGAGCTTTCATTTTCCAGCTGTTTTAGCTAAGTCCTGAAATGGTGAGACACACTTTTATGTAATTGTCCATATGAAACTTGTGCTGTCCTTTTTCCCTTGGCCCTTCCTAGTTCTGTTCACCTTTATTAATATATCTTTTTACTCAATCTAGTTCATTCTGAGAACATGTAAACTATTCCTGTATTAAGTGGTCGCATCGCTGTCCCAAGACCAGTACTTTAATCTTGATACGGCAGATCTCTCATGGCTTAACTAATGTGTGTAGAAGCATGGAACAAAATCAATCTGTAACTGATAATTTTTCTAATTGCCTAACTCCTGGCACAGATTCAGGTGACTACTGTGTTCATGCAGGTAGGCTAGACATGATTTTGTCAGTAATCAGAAGACCCTGTTCCTCCCGTGCTCCCTATCACTGCTGGTGGTGAAGTGCTTGAGGGGTGTGTGTCTGTTGGTCTTGCTTTTAAACTTACCATTTTGCCAGAGAAGGGCTACAGAGTGACTTCCCCTGCAATTACGCAGGTAGATCGAAGGAAAGTGGTAACCTTTTAATTGAGAACTGCACATTTACTGCGATGCAACTATGGTGATGGAACAACCACGTCACGCAGCGCTTCCACCAGGGGACAGGAGCAGCAGCCATGTGAACTGCAGCCCCATGTACAAATGCAGTGAACATGTGCTTGTGTAGGAGAAGCATCCATTCCTCAGAGCCTGCAGCTATTCCACACCATGCATTCACTCCTCATTAGCCAGCTGTTGTAGAGGAATTATGGACAGAGAAGGGCACAAGACAGAAGCAAAACTAACAACCGTAAAATGTCAGCTTTCTATCTTTAAAAATAATTTCAATAAAAAGTTACCTAACTTAAATTTATTTGTAAAATGCTATATTATATATAGCAAGAGCACATCAATATGACAAAGTACCACTCTTTGGAACCAGTAATAACACATTTTCTATGAAGAACTAAAAGCAGCACATTTCAGAGCAACAAAACTTCAGTATGTCTGTACAACAGGACAAAAATTAGTAAGGCACTTCCTCTGGGGTGGTAACAATAAAAGCACCAGTATCCTTTGAGGCAATACAATAGTAATGAAAATGTTAATTTTAAACAGACTTACTATGCAAGACAAAGGCCTGGATGCTCCTAGGAGCAGCTTGTAATAACACTGGTCTAAGCCAGAACAAAACACAGCAGCATAGTACAAGACTTTGTTTGTATTTTACCTTTTTGCCAACATTATTAAGGAAAACTAACAAAACCAGATTAAGAGCAGGGCAACAGAAGAACCTCCTGCAGTCATTAGTATGTCTTACTTGTGACAAGCTCTTTACTAAAGCAGTAATGCTTACTTTGAACGGGCATGGCCCCTGTGACTGGGCACGTATCCAGGCCTGGCTATGCCCCTTCCTAGAGCAGTCTGACGCTTCTGCCCAGCAGCAACCAGGAGCCAGCGGCCCACCACCGACATTGCTCTCCAACACCACCAGAAATACTTGGGAGTCTGGCATGCTCTGTGGTAAGCCCAACAAGCAGTGGCTGAAAAATTTAGTAACCACAGTGCTTAGGTGCTGTTGCAGTCATCTTTAGTGATACTTTCTCTAAGAATTCTTGTTTTCTATATGGTTTGGGAGCTCAGGAAGACTATACTTACTGGAACTGTTTTAAAAGGTAAAAATTTGACCTGGCAAAGTAGTAAAATACCCATAATTCAAAAAGTTAGGCAGCCTAGAAGATGGGCAAGTTCTTCACATTCCGATGCATCCTTTTGCCAGCCCTTTCTTTTTCTAACAAACATCTGCTAATTTACATCATCTCTACATGAGAAAAACTAGAATTTTTTCTTAATTTAGGACTTACTATATTAGCATACTAACTATGTTTGAAGCCACATGTTAAAAATTCTTTGGATGTGCTGTGTGCTAGCAGTCTTTAAACTTTCAGTAAACCTAAGTTTGTTCCAGTGGAACAAATATATTATTTTCCAGTAGTGAATATTTCTCTACACTACAGCCCACAGGTCCAAGCTGCTGTACCCTCATACACACTGCACTCCTGTCCTTTATAAAATAAACTTTAATTATTTTTTAGCCCTTCTCTCAGTTAAAAAAAAAAAAAAAAAACTTTAAAAAATAATTTAAAATTATGCTTATTGACTATTCTGGATTAACTACTCACTGACACAACTGTAACTCCATGGGGTCTCTCCCACCTTTAGTTCTTCCACTCTAGCCTGAGGCATACTACCACTCTCTATCTCACATTGAGTTGTGATGACTTTTGTTTTTTTAAAAAAAAAAAGTTTGAGAGATACTCAAGCTTTTATACAGATAATAATCTTAGACAGAGAGGTGAAATCATTCTGTTGCTTGTTGTTTTTAAAATTGCAAAGAAAAGACAAAACTCTCATTGTTGATCCTGTATCCTTCAGAGATGGCAGTGCCAATTCTAATGTCTGGAATAGTTGTCAATTCAAACGTCATCTTTGCTTTTTTGGGTTTATACAATTAGTGGTTCCCAACACTGCGTTAACTTTTCTTCATTGACTGTGTTGACAACAACATGGTCACGATCATATTGTGCGCCCCCTGTAAAGAAAAATTTCAAAGAGTGTAGATTATCTTTGAAATAAGAGACACGTACTCTAGGTTTCAGGGCAACTCTAGTAAGTGCTGGTGTAGACAGTTTCTCTTCTCCCCAAGGCACTGAAAAGACAAACTCATTTTCATCACTGCCTGCTTTTGGAATTAATTTTGAAACAAGGGAGACTGCCTGCTCCTCTCCACCCCTTCAGTAATTCAGTACCTCAGCTTTTTCAGCCTGGATAGGAAAGGAAGGAAAACACTGCAATACAGTCAGGGGTAGCTCCTTTAAGACTTGTCACTTCCCAGAAGTCAAACTTGGCTGTTCAGCTTCCCCTCAACAGTTGTAGTCATCACTTCATTCTAAAGATGGTGTTTACACGATGAAATAAGTCCTGCTGCTAACAGACAATACGAGCACAGCCACACCAGGGACAAGCTCTGGTACTCATTTACTCTTCACCATTTATAAGCCTGTATTTTGACCAGCTACATCACAAGTCATCATACACATAGTATCACCCAATGTTCAGCTGTTTCCACTGGCAGCTGAACATACCTGAATGCAAAATATAACACTTTCTTAGATGGGCTTAATTTACTCCTGTGATGCAATGCCAAACATGTTGCTATGGAAGAGCACCATTAGTATTCTGACTTAAGAAACTTGGAAACAAATGTTCTAATAGAGCTGAAAGTCAGAACTGGCATTTTTTTTCTCCTATCTAGTACATACTGCAGAAGCGTAGGACACATGCATCTCATGTGGTACAACACACCTTGCAATAGCAGGTAGTATTCCCATTGGAAGCAGCCATCTGAGCCAACCATTTATACAGAGCACCAGGACACTCCTACAGATGCTGTCTTCCATTCTGCACCCCTATAGCCTCACCCTCCCCAAATGAGCAAAAGACAAGTCTGGCAGCTGAAAGCTTATGATGAGTGTAAGAAATATGGATTCTAGCAGATCTCTGAAAGAAATATGCTAGGCACCTGGAGTCCTGCATGGGCAGGCATATTTAAGAGCAGCTCTTTTGTACTAAGGAAATGCCATCTCAAGCACCTTAGCTGTTCCCCGCTTCAGGAGTTTGGGGAGGCTTTCTGGTGCCACTGTCCCAAATCAGAAAGGTCTCTGAAAAGGTTAACACCAACATGATTTCTCTCCTTGCCATCACCAGGCAATTACTAAAAAGCAGTAGAGATACACAGCAGAAATACTTGCAAAGTTCTTCAGAAAGAGGGGAAAAAGAAGGGAATACCAGATCAAATACTCCCACAGGAAAAAAAAAGCCTAACCAGCAGCTACAAAAAAAAAAAAAAAAAAAAAAATTAGCTACATAGCTCAGTTATCACTGTGCATGCACAAAATATTTTGTAAGTGGTGTCTGATAGAATGTAAACACGTTATAATGGGATAAGGTGGATTTTTTTCTCAGTGGAACAAGAGACTATTTACTTTGATAGAGTGGTGCTCTGGACAAAGCTGTGTGCTATGCCAGTATACCCACAAGGTGGCATTGGTAACTGCGCAGTTGAACAGCTGCATCCATTTGCTGAAGAATTCATTAATGCCCAATTTGTGGTCAAGAATGGATCAGCAGAATTGGCAGAAACACGTAATGTTCCTACTAGGCTTTCTCAAATGAAAGCTAAATGTACTTACTCTTTCATATTTACCATGCAGGTTTACTCTTTTTTAACCTAAGAGTGCATCTATACTTTCATCACCAGACCTATCCATTGTGAAGTTCTTCAATTACAAATGCAGAATACATAATTATTTTTAACATGATTAACTGAAGACAAGGCCATGTAACAGTATTTCCGCTTGTTTGGTGCAACTTGGAACTGACGTTAGAAAAAGGTATGCAGAGTCATTGTGACTTAAGACTCTCCCTCAAACTGAAGTCTTCCTGGTAAGTTTATAATTAATCATCACTAGCTTTTTATGGCAGTAAAGAGAATTTGTGACTATTTATGCCAGTGTTGTATTATGTTCAGACATTAGATAACCCTTTTCTCCAGTTCTGATAGTCCTGTCCTTTTTAGTTCTAAAGTACTGACTGTTGACTCTGTTTTTTTTTTTTTT